GTATATATATATATATATATATATCCCACACTGAAGTACACAGATTTATGAAGCGAATATTGCTAGCTCTAAATAAGTAAAATAAAATAATGGTGGGGAACTTTAACACCCCACTCGCAGCATTAGACTGATCATGTACATATATAATAAAATAAACACAGAAACAGGATTTAAACTGGACTTTATCCCAAATTTCTTTTATAGAGCATTCTATCTAATCTAAAAATAGAGTTACCATTTGATCTAGCAATGCCACTGAGTATCTAACCCAAAGAAAATTTATATCAAATAAAAATCTATACTCACGTTTACTACAGCACTATTCAAACTAGCAAAGATAACAGAATCAACCTAAGTGTCCACCAATAAGTGAATAAAAAGTTGTGTATATACACAATGGAATACTATTCAACCATAAAAAATAACAAGATCTTGTCATTTAGAGCAACATGGGTGGAACTGAAGATGTTATCTTAAAATAAGCTAGGCACAACAATACAATTATTGGCCAGGCGCAGTGGCTCGTGCCTGTAATTCCAGCACTTTGAGAGGCCAAGGCGGTTGGATCACGAGGTCAAGAGATTGAGACCATCTTGGCCAACATGGTGAAGAACCATCTCTACTAAAAATACAAAAATTAGCTGGGCGTTTGGCGGCACGCACCTGTAGTCCCAGCTACTCAGGCAGAAGAATTGCTTGAACCCAGGAGGGAGAGGCTGCAGTGAGCCAAGACTGAGCCACTGTGCTCTAGCCTGGCAACAGAGCAAGACTCCATCTCAAGAAAAAAGAAAAAATACAAGTATCACAGGTTCTCCCAAGTCGGAGCTAAAACATTTCATCACGTGGGGGGAGGTAGAGAGTGGAAAGAGATAACAGATATTGGGACAGGTACATGAGAGAAAGGGGGAAGATAAGTGGGTTAAGGTGTACAAACATAGTTAAAAGGAAGGAATAAATTTAATGCTTGATAGCAGAATAGGGCGACTACAGTTAACAAAAATGTATTGTCCTTGGGTGATGGGCACCCTATATATCCTTGAATGACTTATACATTACATACATGTAATAAAATTTCACATGTACCCCATAATTTTGTAAAAATTTTTTTAAAGTAAAAAATATGTATGATCAAAAAGTAGGTAACCTAAAACAATAAAAAAATTTATTCTCTTAAACTCCCAAAATCAAACTTCTAGCAGGTTTGTTTCCTCTGGAGGTTCTGAGAGAGAATCTGTTCCATGTCTCTTTCTATATATATCCAGTGGTTGCCACTAATCCTTGGTGTTTCTTGGCTTATAGGCACATCACTCCAATCCCTGCCAATGTCTTCACGTGGTATTCTCTCTATACCTCCATGAATCTGTGGGTCCTCTTCCTGTAAGAGCCCATCCTAATCTCGTATGACAATCTTCACCTAACTACTTATATAAGGACCCTCTTTACAAATAAAGTCACATTCTAATATTTACTTAGTGTGGTGGACATAGGAATGTTTTTTTGGGGTGGGTGGGGGACACTATTAAATCCATCACAGAGTCCAAGTCCTGAACTGTAAGGTTAAGATGATTCACATTTTTATTCCCCAAACACCTAGACTATATAGAATGAACAGCAAATAAAAGACAGCCAGGTGTCTGGCCCATGCCTCTCATCTGGAAACCGAGTGGGAGAATTGTTTGAGCACAAGATTTTGAGACCAGCCTGGGTAATCCAGTGAGACCTGTCACTATAATGAATTTTTAATTAGCCAGGTGCAGTGGCTCATGCATGTAGTCCCAGCTACTCAAGAGGCTGAGGTGAGAGGATTGCTTGAGCCCAACAGTTCAAGGATGTAGTGAGCTACGACTACACCACTGCACTCCAGCCTGGGCAATAGAATGAGAGCCCATCTCTAACAAACATAAAACAAATTCCAAACTTGAATACACTAAACATATTAAAACTAAAAGTCTGTCTGCAACTCTAAATACTTTTTGGATTTTTCCCCTATTTCAAACATATACATCATACATTGGTCCCTGGACGCCCATTCCCAAAAGGCCATGTTCTCCACGGTCACAACATTAACAACCATGAGCTGCAGTGATCTCTCATAACAAACTTTATTCTCAATAGCTCTTTCAAGTTGCAAAGCACTTTAGCAACACAATCGTAACCGTAACCCAGTAAGAGCGATTTTGAAATCCCTTCTACTTGGACATATACTTCGTATGCTCGCCCAAATCCCATATCTACCATGATCTCATAATTATATGTCTGTGTTTACTAGGTTATTAGTAAAATAATAGCACCATCATGTTATGTATATACAATGCGAAATACTGTTTTTCAGTGGCAGATGTGGATGCTTTAAGAAACAAAGGAAGTGGCTCATAAAGTCCACCTGAGAACATAACCTTGGCCTACTTCCCAATTTCCAAGGCCCTGTGATCAGTTATGTTAAAACATACTAAGGACCACTTGATCCAATCATTAAATTTCCCCTATGCAAATACAATCGCTGCTCCACTGTTCTGTTTTCATTCATCCTCTTTCTAAGCTCTCTTCCTATCCATAAAACCTCAGTAGGCCTCTTTAATACTCAGAGTGTTTTTATTTGCATGAATCTAGTTTATATGTTGGAATGTTCCAAGCAATAAATATCAAATAAGAACATGGAAGGAAGGTATTATATGGTAGGAGGGGTCTAATACAGCCTACCTATATCACTAAGTGAAACACATTTGGTCTTGATTTCCTTCAAAACCTATGTTGACATTCTTAGAATATACATCCTGAAGTGTTTGAAAATAAAATTTTATTGCAACTGCAAGTTATTTTTAAATGGTTCAGTCGAAAAGATGGCTAGAGGCAGACATAGATAAAACTAATACGACAAAATGAAAACTGTTGAATCTAAATGTGTTCGGTATATGAAAGTTAACCAATCTTTTTCTTTCCTTTTGAGACAGAAGAGAACTTTATTACAGATGCACCCAGGATGGCAGCAGGCTCACACCTAAAATGGTCAGGAAGCCTAACAAAGGAGGCAGTCCAACTTATATGCTGTTTGAGGCTGGAAGTTGAGGCAGGAAGTCGGTTTCAGATGACAATCAGGTTTTACAAAATTAAGCATCCTGATCATTTGACTCCATAAACTTGCAGTTGAGGTAAGGGGTAAAAGGTGGGGGGAGGTGATCCAGGAAAATCAGAAAATAAGGAAATGCAGAAATGTGCTGGTTACAGACCCAAAGATGTGCTCTGGTGAGCTTATCTATGTAAAGAGAGGGGTTCCCATTCTGCTTTATTTGTACTTTTATTTAACTACCACATACATACATACATACTATAGAAACTATCTACTATTGCATTTAATTTTCATTTTCTTCCACATTTTGCCCCTTTAGAAGCTTCCCTTTAAAATCTAGATACTATTATCAGAAAGCTTTTACATCTGTTTTATGCACAGAATGCAGAGTCCAAGTCTCCTCATTGGCAACATCCTTGCCTGGGAATTACCTTGCATGTGTATTTGCTCCTATCGCTGCTCCTGTACTTCTTAGGAGCAGAATGGCTTTTGATATGACTTTACCCTTTGCTGGCCTCCCAAGGGCTGTGCCTGTCTTAGGTTGCTTCCGTCCTTCAGAGAGTCTTACCCGTCATTAGCTAACCAGCCATCCACCTGGGGGACACACAGGCAACTTGTCTGCCTGTCAAGTATGCTGCTGGTGCATCTCCTCTCGGTATCAATTTCGCCTTGGCTGGCATCCCCGTGGCTGTGCCTGTCTTAGGTTGCTCTCAGCTCTCAGAGAGTCTTACCCATCATTGGCTAACCAGCCATCCCCCTGGGGGACACACAGGCAACTTACTTGTCTGCCTGTCAAGTACGCTGCTGGTGCATCTGCTCCCAGAATGAATTTAGCCTTTGCTGGCCTCCCCGCGGCTGTGCCTGTCTTAGGTTGCTCTCGTCCTTCACAGAGTCTTACCCGTCATTGGCTAACCAGCCATCCACCAGGGGGGTACACAGGCAGCTTGTCTGCCTGTCAAGTACGCTGCTGGTGCATCTGCTCCCGGTATGAATTTAGCCTTTGCTGGCCTCCCTGCGGCTGTGCCTGTCTTAGGTTGCTCTAATCTCTCAGAGAGTCGTACCCGTCATTGGCTAACCAGCCATCCACCTGGGGCACACAGGCAACTTACTTGTCTGCCTGTCAAGTACGCTGCTGGTGCATCTGCTCCCGGTATGAATTTAGCCTTTGCTGGCCTCCCCGCGGCTGTGCCTGTCTTAGGTTGCTCTCGTCCTTCACAGAGTCTTACCCGTCATTGGCTAACCAGCCATCCACCTGGGGGGCACACAGGCAGCTTGTCTGCCTGTCAAGTATGCTGCTGGTGCATCTGCTCCTGATATGAATTTAGCCTTGGCTGGCATCCCCGTGGCTGTGCCTGTCTTAGGTTGCTCTAATCTCTCAGAGTCTTACCCGTCATTGGCTAACCAGCCATCCACCTGGGGGGCACACAGGCAACTTACTTGTCTGCATGACAAGTACGCTGCTGGTGCATCTCCTCTCGGTATCAATTTCGCCTTGGCTGGCATCCCCGTGGCTGTGCCTGTCTTAGGTTGCTCTCGTCCTTCAGAGAGTCTTACCCGTCATTGGCTAACCAGCCATCCACCTGGGGGGACACAGGCAACTTACTTGTCTGCCTGTCAAGTACGCTGCTGGTGCATCTGCTCCTGGTATGAATTTAGCCTTGGCTGGCATCCCCGTGGCTGTGCCTGTCTTAGGTTGCTCTCGTCCTTCAGAGAGTCTTACCCGTCATTGGCTAACCAGCCATCCACCTGGGGGGCACACAGGCAACTTACTTGTCTGCCTGTCAAGTACGCTGCTGGTGCATCTGCTCCTGGTATGAATTTAGCCTTGGCTGGCATCCCGTGGCTGTGCCTGTCTTAGGTTGCTCTAATCTCTCAGAGTCTTACCCGTCATTGGCTAACCAGCCATCCACCTGGGGAACACACAGGCAACTTGTCTGCCTGTCAAGTACGCTGCTGGTGCATCTGCTCCCAGAATGAATTTAGCCTTTGCTGGCCTCCCCGCGGCTGTGCCTGTCTTAGGTTGCTCTCGTCCTTCAGAGAGTCTTACCCGTCATTGGCTAACCAGCCATCCACCAGGGGGGCACACAGGCAGCTTGTCTGCCTGTCAAGTACGCTGCTGGTACATCTGCTCCCAGTATGAATTTAGCCTTTGCTGGCCTCCCTGCGGCTGTGCCTGTCTTAGGTTGCTCTAATCTCTCAGAGAGTCTTACCCGTCATTGGCTAACCAGCCATCCACCTGGGGGCACACAGGCAACTTACTTGTCTGCCTGTCAAGTACACTGCTGGTGCATCTGCTCCCAGAATGAATTTAGCCTTTGCTGGCCTCCCCGCGGCTGTGCCTGTCTTAGGTTGCTCTCGTCCTTCACAGAGTCTTACCCGTCATTGGTAACCAGCCATCCACCTGGGGGGCACACAGGGAACTTTTCTGCCTGTCAAGTATGCTGCTGGTGCATCTGCTCCTGGTATGAATTTAGCCTTGGCTGGCATCCCCGTGGCTGTGCCTGTCTTAGGTTGCTCTAATCTCTCAGAGTCTTACCCGTCATTGGCTAACCAGCCATCCACCTGGGGAACACACAGGCAACTTGTCTGCCCTGTCAAGTACGTTGCTGGTGCATCTGCTCCCGGTATGAATTTAGCCTTTGCTGGCCTCCCTGCGGCTGTGCCTGTCTTAGGTTGCTCTAATCTCTCAGAGAGTCTTACCCGTCATTGGCTAACCAGCCATCCACCTGGGGGGCACACAGGCAAATTACTTGTCTGCCTGTCAAGTGCGCTGCTGGTGCATCTGCTCCCAGAATGAATTTAGCCTTCGCTGGCCTCCCCGCGGCTGTGCCTGTCTTAGGTTGCTCTCGTCCTTCAGAGAGTCTTACCCGTCATTGGTAACCAGCCATCCACCTGGGGCGCACACAGGGAACTTTTCTGCCTGTCAAGTATGCTGCTGGTGCATCTGCTCCTGGTATGAATTTAGCCTTGGCTGGCATCCCCGTGGCTGTGCCTGTCTTAGGTTGCTCTAATCTCTCAGAGTCTTACCCGTCATTGGCTAACCAGCCATCCACCTGGGGGGCACACAGGCAACTTACTTGTCTGCCTGTCAAGTACGCTGCTGGTGCATCTGCTCCCAGAATGAATTTAGCCTTGGCTGGCATCCCCGTGGCTGTGCCTGTCTTAGGTTGCTCTAATCTCTCAGAGTCTTACCCGTCATTGGCTAACCAGCCATCCACCTGGGGAACACACAGGCAACTTGTCTGCCTGTCAAGTACGCTGCTGGTGCATCTGCTCCCAGAATGAATTTAGCCTTTGCTGGCCTCCCTGCGGCTGTGCCTGTCTTAGGTTGCTCTAATCTCTCAGAGAGTCTTACCCGTCATTGGCTACCCAGCCATCCACCTGGGGGGCACACAGGCAACTTACTTGTCTGCCTGTCAAGTACGCTGCTGGTGCATCTCCTCTCAGTATCAATTTCGCCTTGGCTGGCATCCCCGTGGCTGTGCCTGTCGTAGGTTGCTCTCAGCTCTCAGAGAGTCTTACCCGTCATTGGCTAACCAGCCATCCACCTGGGGGGCACACATGCAACTTACTTGTCTGCCTGTCAAGTACGCTGCTGGTGCATCTGCTCCCGGTATGAATTTAGCCTTTGCTGGCCTCCCCGCGGCTGTGCCTGTCTTAGGTTGCTCTCGTCCTTCACAGAGTCTTACCCGTCATTGGCTAACCAGCCATCCACCTGGGGGGCACACAGGCAGCTTGTCTGCCTGTCAAGTATGCTGCTGGTGCATCTGCTCCTGATATGAATTTAGCCTTGGCTGGCATCCCCGTGGCTGTGCCTGTCTTAGGTTGCTCTAATCTCTCAGAGTCTTACCCGTCATTGGCTAACCCGCCATCCACCTGGGGAACACACAGGCAACTTGTCTGCCTGTCAAGTACGCTGCTGGTGCATCTGCTTCCGGTATGAATTTAGCCTTTGCTGGCCTCCCTGCGGCTGTGTCTGTCTTAGGTTGCTCTCATCTCTCAGAGAGTCTTACCCGTCATTGGCTCCCCAGCCATCCACCTGGGGGGCACACAGGCAACTTACTTGTCTGCCTGTCAAGTACGCAGCTGGTGCATCTGCTCCCAGAATGAATTTAGCCTTTGCTGGCCTCCCCGTGGCTGTGCCTGTCTTAGGTTGCTCTAGTCTCTCAGAGTCTTACCCGTCATTGGCTAACCAGCCATCCACCTGGGGGGCACACAGGCAACTTGTCTGCCTGTCAAGTACGCTGCTGGTTCATCTGCTCCCGGTATGAATTTAGCCTTGGCTGGCATCCCCGTGGTTGTGCCTGTCTTAGGTTGCTCTCATCCCTCAGAGTCTTATCTGTCATTGGCTAACCAGCCATCCACCTGGGAGGCATACAGGCAACTTGATTGTCTGTCAATTACACTGCTAGTACATCTGCTCCCAGTATGAATTTAGCCTTTGCTGGCCTCCCTGCAACGTACTTTCCTGTCAATGACGCTGCTGCTGCATCTGCTTGTAGTGCTTCTCGATTCCTTCGTGGGAGCAGGCTGGCTTTTTGTATAAATTTAGCTATTGGTCGCTGCCCTACAGCTGTGCCTGTCTTAGGTTGCTCTTGGTCTTCCACAGAGTCTTACCCATAATTCACTAACCAGCCATCCACCTCAGGGGCACATTTTTGGCTTTTCCCTTGGAGAGAAGCATGAGTTAGCCAGTTAGAAGTTATACCTATTGTTATTTCCTGCGCCTTTTGCTTTTGTTTAGGCAGGATTTATATATTACACCCTAGAATGTTATTTTACAAGTTATCTGCATTATACCTAGAAAACAATATGGAAAAAGTGGGAGACAGGTTTTCTGCTAAGCTTCAAATCACACATCTGTGAAGCAATAGTTACATGGGCTTGTTTGGAGTCAGAAAAATTTGTGGCATGTAAAACTATCAAAGAAAAATATTTTATTTTCAACTGACAGGTTGAGTATCCTTATCCAAAACGCTTGGGCCAAGAAGTGTTTTGGATTTCTGATTTTTTCAGATTTGGGAATATTTACATATACATGAGCTATCTTGGGAATGGAACCCCAAACTAAATGTAAAATTCTGTTATGCTTTATATATATCTTATATATACAGCCTGAAGTTAATTCTACAAACTATTGTAAGTAATTTTGCTCATGAAACAAAGTTTGTGTTAAGTACTCACAAGTGGAATTTCTTACACGTGATGTCATGTTGTTGCTCAAAAGGTTTCAGATTTTGGAGCACTATGGATTTCAGATTTTCAGGTTAGGAATCTGTAATAAGAAAAACAACAATTATATCTTTTTCTTTGTATGTGTTATAATATTCCTTATATTTCAGTTACATTACCTTTATATTTATTGAGGTTGCTTATCACACTGTTTAAAAGATCCAATAGTTTATAAAATTACATTACAAAGAAACAGTAGTCCTCTCCTCCCACATTTCACAAGTCTTATAGAAAAGCAGTCTCAACAATTGTAGCCTTCTCTTAAATAAACTCTGAGAAAAGGAAAAAAAAACCACTTATCTGAAGAATGTAAAGTGCTTTTAATTACCAGGCCCAGAGAGACATTAAAATGAGACAGCAATCATGCCCTACTCCTCCCTTCTTTGAGCTATGTAGTCCTTTCCTGAAACTGCCTGTACAGCTCATTTCAGATGTATAATAGTATAAAACAACATTTTAAGGCTAATCTTTGTATGCATTATTTTTCACTCATTTAACATCACACACACACACACACACCCCTACTTAATGAATAACTGGAATACATGAATAAATGAATAATTTGAAACATATTTGAATAGGTAGAAAATAAAATGTAGTGTGCAATGATTTGCTCCTACAAAGGAAGTTGTAAAAATTTACGTAATGAAATACTTGCATGAATCTGGAAGCATATATGTTATTTGATGCCAGTTTCTGACTCTGCAGAAGTGGCCAGATTAGAAAGTGATGCTTCAATCACAGAACTCAAATGATCAGATCCATGAGCCAGTGGGTAGAAATCTAGAGCAGAAATCTCAAGGCTAAGAATCACCTTAAGAATTGAAAGGGCTCTAAAAAGTCTCCTTGATTTACCAAATATCAGAAAATTATCATGTAAAATTGTTTCTTTCCTTCAAAACATATAAGTTAAATGGTTGCTAATTACTGGCTTTTGTTAATAACAAAGAAAAGCTTGCCTCTTGATGGCAACCATACAAAAAAAGGTAACAATAATGAACTTCAGTGTGAAATTAACCATAAGGAAAGTGAAGTCAAAAAGGGCTGAAAAATTACTGATAAAGTTCTGATTCAGACCCAGTGAAAATTAGGAAAGACGTCTCAAAGAATGAAGTGGGGTACCACCTGATAGGAAACCCAAAGCATGTTGAAAGAGGAGGCTAATATAAGAGGACAAGTAGTGCCGAAGTAACAGAGTCATAAATTATTCAATGCATCAGTGGAAGGAAACTTAGAATAAGTATGGGCCTAGCAAGTGGGTACAGATTAAAGAAGAGAAAATAAAAATCAAATTAGTGGAAAGATTGAGAAAACCAAAACCAAATATAGTAGATATATGCAAGGAATTGTCTTTTATGGGAAACAAATATATTTTACAGTGCCTGATATATAAGAATTGCTCAACAGTTTTTGATATATAAATAAAAGGATTATAATATAAAGTTTAGAAATTTTCTAGGGAATCAGGGTGAAATGATTAAGTGAAAGAAATTAGGAAATAAGATAAGAAAACTTCAGGTCAAATCAAAGAGGATGATAACTCATTATTCAAACATTAGAAGTTTAAGAAAAAGAAAATGGAAAATGAGAGGATATACATGAGATAATTAACTCAAGAAAATGTGCCAAGGCATAAGTTTCCAGTTTGAAACAGTTCACTTAGTACCTAGGTCAGTGGTTGAAATTAGATCCACATCAAAGAACATCGTGAGGACATTTCAGAATACCAGAGACAGAGAGCTCTTTTGAAGGATGCAAAACTAAAAAAAATCAAATTACAAGGATTGGTAAACATAGTCATGTGCCCAGACTTTTCACAGCAGTACTGGAAGTTAGATATCATACCTTCAAACTTCGGGGAGAAAATGGTAATAAGTCTAAAATTCAGTGCCATGTCAAGCTGTTAATTAAAAGTGTCTAAAATTGAGATATTTTCAGATAGCCTTGGTATAATAATAGTTACTTCTTGGCTGGGGAGGTCGCTCAGGCCTCTAATCCTAGCACATTGGGAGGCTGAGATGGGCAGATTATGAGGCTAGGAGACTGAGTCCATCCTGGTTAGCACAGTGAAGTCCCGTGAGTCCAAACTTACTGTGTTTGGAGAAAGAGAAAACACTGCAATCTTAATAAATGTTCAAAAAGATCTAACTCTATGCTCCCTACAAGAAACTCACATTAGCTATAAGGAAACATATAGGCTAAATACGAAAGCACAGAATAAGATTTTCCATTAAAAACGTAATCAAAGAAGAGCATAGGTGTCTATACACATATCAAACAAAATTACAGAACAGAGGTCTTGGGGGCAACCTCACACATCTACAACCATCTGATCTTTAACAATCTGACAAAAACAACCAATGGGGAAAGGATTCCCTGTTTAATAAATGGTGTTGGAAAAACTGCCTAACAATTTGCAGAAAACAGAAACTGGACCCCTTCCTAACACCTTACACTAAAATCAACTCCAGATGGATTAAAGCCTTAAACATAATACCTAACACCATAAAAACCCTAGAAGAAAACCAAGGCAAAACCACTTAGAACATAGGCATAGGCAAGGACTTCATGACCAAAACATCAAAAGCATTGGCAACAAAAGCCAAAATAGACAAACGGGACCTAAGCAAACTCCCGAGTTTCTGTACAGCAAAAGAAACAATGATTAGAGCGAACCCACAACCAACAGAATGGGAAAAATTTTTTGCAATCTACCCATCTGACAAAGAGCTAATATTCAAAATCTACAAAGAACTAAAACAGATTTACAAGAAAAAAAACAAACCCATCCAAAAGTAGGAGAAGGATATGAACAGACGTTTTTCAAAAGAAGACATATATGAGGCCAACAAACATATTAAAAAATGCTCATCATCACTGATTATTAGAGAAATGCAAATCAAAACCATACTGAGATACCACCTCATGCCAGTTAGAATGGTGATCATTAAAAAATATGGAGACAACAGATGTTGGAGAGGATGTGGAGAAATAGAAACACTTTTACACTGTTGGTGAGAGTGTAAACTAGTTCAGCCATTGTGGAAGACAGTGTGGCGATTCCTGAAGGACCTAGAAATAGAAATTCCATTTGACCCAGCAATCCCATTACTGGGTATATACCCAAAGGATTATAAATCATTCTATTATAAAGACACATGTACACATATGTTAATAGTGGCACTGTTTACAATAGCAAAGACTTGGAGCCAACCCAAATGCCCATCTACGATAGACTGGACAAGGAAAATGTGGCACATGTACACCGTGGAATACTATGCAGCCATAAAAAATGATGAGTTCGTTTCCTTTGTGGGAACATGGATGAATTTGGTAACCATCCTTCTCAGCAAACTGACAGAAGAACAGAAAAAATCACACACTGCATATTCTCACTCATAGGCAGGTGTTAAACAATGAGAACACGTAGACACAGGGAGAGGAGCATCACACACTGGGGTCTGTTGTGGGGGGCAAGGAAGGACAGCAGGGTGTTAAAGAAATCAGGGAGGGATAAAATGGGGAGAAATGCCAGATGTGGGTGACGGGGAGATGGAGGCAGCAAACCATGTTGCCATGTGTGTACCTACACAACAATCCTGCATGATCTGCACATGTACCCCAGAACCTAAAGTACAATTAAAAACAACAAGAAACAAAAAAAATCGACTTTAAGTCAAAAATTGTCACAAGAGAGGTCATTATATAATTACAAAGGTTTCAATTCATCAAGTGGATATAACTATTATAATGTATATGCAGCCAACATTGAAGCACCTAAGTACATAAGGCAAATATTACCAGATTTGAAGGGAGACAGACGGCAATATAGTAATGGTAGAGGATTTCCACATCTCACTTTCAACAATATACAGGTCATCCAGACAGAAAACCGTAAGGACCCAGCCAACTTTAACAACACTATAGACCAAATGAACCTATCAAATATAAACCTAACATTTCAATGAACTGCAACAGAATATATACTCTTTAAAAATGAACATAAAACAATTTCTAGCATAGATCCTATGTTAGACTACAAAATAAGCCTTAACAAATTTAAGAAGACTGAAATAATATTAAACATCCTTTCCACTCACAATGGTATTAAATTAGAAATAAATAACAGGAGAAAAATCCCAAATTTACAAATACGTAGAAATTAAACAACATATTCCTGAATACTGAGTCAGAGAAGGAATCAAAAAAGAAAGTGAAAAAATATCTTGACACAAGTGAAAATGGAAAAACGACATATGACCCTTATGAGATGGTGTAAAAGCAGTTCTAAAAGGGAAGTTTATAGCGACAAGTGCCTACATTTAAAAAAAGAGAAATATTTCAAATGAACAATCTAATATTATACCTCAAATATAACTAGAAAAGAGCAACTAAATACAAAGTCAGCAGAAGAAAATAAGAAAAAATGGAGCAGAAAAAAATGAAATAGAGTCTAGAATGACAACAGAAAGATCAACAAAACTAAGATTTGATTTTGGAAAGATAACACTGACAAATCTTCAGTTATATGACAGAAAAAAGGAGAGATGACTCTCAGATAAGTATAATTATAAGACATTATAACTGGTAACAAAGAAAAACAAAGGATCATAAGAGACTATGAACAATTATGCACAAATTGGATAACCTAAAAGAAATGGATAAATTCCCAGAAACATACATCCAACAATATTAAACCATGAAAAAAATGAAACTAAGAGGAGACAAATAAAGAGTAACGAGATGAAATCAGTAATCAAAAACTCCTAACAAAGAAAGAGTCCAGGACCTGATGGATACGCTGGCAAACTCTAACTAACATTTACAGTAGAAAAATTGTTAATCTTTCTCACAAGCTTCAAAAAGAAATTGAATGAGAGGGAACATTTACAAACTAATTTTATAAGGTCAGCATTACCCTGCTACCAAAGGCAGACAAGTACACTACAAGCAAAGAAAATTACAGGCCAAAATTCCTGGTAAACAAAGATGCAAAAATCCACAACAAAATACTAGCAAACCTAATTTGACAGCATGTTAAAA